TAGTATACTCTGTTATTATCTATATATTATCTTGTAAGGTGGTTGAGATATACACGTGTAGAGGTGCGCAAAGTTGGTGGGGTGGCTCACTCGCTTGCCTGGCTCACTCGCTTGCCAACCATGTTAGAGCAACTTGACAATTCACACATGCAGCGTGACTTTCCATGTTTTTCAAAGACACCGCACACGCAAAATGGCAATCTCCTTTCGAACAGTTCACTCCACGTCTTCTCCACTCGTTCAACAAGTTGAGAACCGGTGAATTTCGACAGACTAATGCAAAATGTTACAGATATGGCTATTCTCCACAACGCCACTGCAACGACGCGAAAGCTTGATTTGACACGGATCTGCATCGCTTCCATAATTCCGTCCAGTCGCGCATGCATGCTAGATTCAGCGATTGCCTGCATTGCATCGGAGAGTGGGTAGTGGGGTAGCGCTGACCGGAACACCAAGGCGTTGCCGGCGCCGCATCTGGCCTGCATCTGGCTGGTGTTTGCGCAGGTGGCACAGTACCAAGCTCTGGGGAACCAGCTACTCGATTTCCTGGGTCTGATTATATTGCTTTGCATGAAGGGTTAGGGTCTGCATCACGCCATGTACTTGCTGTTTGAAACGTCAGTCTAATTAAGGAAGCATGAACAGCGGACCCTGACGTCTTGGAAACCATTGAAACTTTCATGGAATTTCACGCCTAGACGGCGACAACCCTCAGTCTTGACCTCGCCCATGCACAGTCTCACCACACTCACACGACACGACAAAATCAAGTCGGCTCTCCACGCTGAGGTCCGAGCAGACTCTGCGACTGCTGTGCTGCTTCTGGAAACGAGTTGTGGATCATCCTTGCGTCGATGCTGTCGATCTCACGTCGGGCATTTTGACCTCCGACAGCAACTCAGCAAACAGCCAAGATCAGCGTTCCACGACCGCCAAAGTTCAAGCCACTTGTCAGCGCGACCGCTGAACATAAGCCTCGTAGCGCCTGTCAGGGTCTGAGACTTGCTCTAGTTCAATAGTAGCGACTACAAACGTGCCACGATGCGCGATACTAGACGACAAATCGCATCAAGCGCCAGACTGTCAACGGTTTACTCCATCCAAACCCGCCAATACCGTGGGCCGGAATGGTCAGAAGGTGAAAGTGGGTATAAGCTGAATCCGGTCAGAATGGGAATAAGGGATGCATATGGATGAGCAATTGCGGAGTTTAGGTGGGTAAGATCGCTGTTTAGTGTAATCGATTTTTCGACAGTTTGCACGGAACCGTCAGTGTGGCTATCATGGCCATCGTTCTAACCGTAATTTAGCCCAACTCTCATCAGACCGTTGAGCGGCCAACGTTGGACTCTGAAGTATATATTTCTTTCAAGTTTCTCACGTTTCCCAGCTTTTGGTTTTGTAGGTTTCAACAGTCAGTCTCAACAGTCAGTCTCGGTTTCGTCATTCTTTCTTTTGAACTGAACAGCCTTGCCCATATATCATTGGAGTTCATCGTCAACATCTTTGGGGTTTGCCAGTCATCGACACAAGACTACATACAGCAAATCTCACCACTGCACCAACATGCGTTCCTTCGCCATCATCCTCATTGCCCTGGCGGCATCGTCAACTTCGGCCTTCGATATCTGGCCTCGCTCATCATCCAAATGCCCGTCCGTGTGGTCGGATGTCGCCTCCGAACTTCAGTCTGACTTTGCTGGCTGTGGTGCTGATGCTCACGGAGCCATCCGCGCGCCCTTCCATGACTGCATCAACAACGGCTGTGATGGTAGTCTAATCCTCACGGACGAATGCTCGAGATCCGAAAACGCCGGCCTCTCTGCTATTTGCAAGAAGTTAAAAGGCTGGAGCGATAAGTACAACGTCGCTGCAGCCGACATGATCCAATTTGCCGCAGCAACAGCAATCTCTGCGTGTCCACTTGGCCCTAGGGTTCAAGCATTGGTCGGCCGCAAGGACAGCTCCAAGGCCGCAGCCGTTGGGAGTGTACCGAGCAGCCGTGGTACCTTAAGCAGCATCTTGGGAGCGTTCAGTGCGAAAGGTTTCTCGGCCGATGATGTTGTTGCACTCATGGGCACACATAGTGTAGCACTACAGTTCAACGACGACCCATCACAAGCTGGCAAGAGTCTGGACTCGACACCTAGCACGTACGACAATACCTTCTACAAGGAGACCAAGGATGGCACGGCGCCATACAGTCTGCAAAGCGATGTTCTTCTCTCCAACTCGTCTCAGGTATGTTTTGACCATGACTTATCCTTGCCTCTAACATGATACTGATTATCTCTACAGACAGCAAAGACATGGTCTTCCTTCGCCGATGACGCCGATGCTTGGTCCAGCGCTTTCACAGGAGCGTGGAACCGGTTTGCTGTGATTGGGAGCGATGCGAGTAAGCTCCAAGATTGCTCGAGCCTGATTCCTAGTAGCAGTGCAAGCAAGAAGAGGCAGGCTTTCAATGCAAGGTTCACGAAGATGATGAGTGCGAAGTTCAGGGTGTGAGTCACACAAGAGAAGGCATTACGAAGCCATGATAACGACTTGGATGGCACGGTGTTTGGGAGTCAGACCACGAAATGGTCCTAGATTTTGTTTTACATGGGCGCTTTCGCGCAACGTGACAGCATGTGGCGCAAGGATTCGCACTTTCACTAATGTAATGATATGTTCACAACTACTTCAAATATCCTTCGTGTTCACTTGAATTACGCCGCTTTTCCACCCACACTCACCAATCATCTCTGGCGTCGAAACTCTTCATCGAAGAGAACCTGACGAACATGGCTTTAAAACACGATCTTTGGAAGTACAAGGGTTCTCGGTCGTTCTCAAACTGTTTACGTAACTGCCTCAAAACGCAGCTTATTTTTTCCTGTCATCATTGTGCAGGTCTTCTCCCTCGCCACCATGTCCACGATACACTAGGGCTTTGGCACCGACCTCACCTATGATCAAAGCTATGCTAGGTTTAACTTTGTACAATATGCATAAGCTTTCGTACTCACATGGTATCTGCTAGTGAGGAGTGCAATACTTATGTGCCTACCTCACTCACCACATTCATCACATGCTGATAAAGTCCTGGTAATACAGGCAATGTCGAGTGAGCGACAGAGGCGATGATAGACTGCGAAGATGTAGATCTTGATACGATGAAGAGCCGAGTGTCAAGGTGGATGAATAAATATGTCAAGCACGTTCGAAAATACTAAGACGGCCACTGAGAGCATTAGCGTGCCCCATCATGAACAATGCAGATTTTATCGAAATCGTTGCAGAGGGGGTTTATCCCCTCTGGACAAACCACCAGTAGCCATCATGATTCAGGTCATAATAAATCACGAAGTGAAAAACTAAATGTGAAGTGGACAAGTATCATTCCAAAAAACATCGCTACAAGAATCGAAGTTCCCCTTCTAGGAGAAGTATATGTACAAAAGAATCATCGCACAAGATGCGGAATCGTTTACTGAAGGGCCTCAATCATACGGCGGATCTTGGCAGCAGACTCGCTACCAGCCTCCTGCTCAAGGAAAGCAATGAAGGTCTCGAGGGTGTATGTCTTCTCACCAGCACCGGCAGCAGGTGCAGATGAAGCAGCAGGCTTTGAGGGCTCAGTAGCGACGGGTGCTACAGAGGTAGGCTTAGCCTCGGCGGCAGCGGCGGAAGTAGGCTTAGCGGCAGAGGGCTTAGGGGCTTCAGCGGAAGGCTTGGGAGCCTCTGCGGTGGGCTTGGGGGACACGGCGGTGGCAGTAGGCTTGGAAGCAGCAGCGGAGGAAGGCATAGGACCCTTGGAAGGACCGGGCTTGGTAGCCTCGGGCTTGACGCACTGAGAGTACCATGGGTTCCAGTCCTTGCACTCAAGACCCTCGGCACACTCGCCGGTACCCTTGAAGCCCTGGCCACCGCACTGGTAGTACTCCTTGATGGGACCGGAAGCTTCGGCGGTCTGGGTAGGACGGACGGCGGTAAGCATGGTTGTGGGAGCAACGACAACGCTGGAAGTGACGACGGGGGATGCGGTGCCGGGAAGCATAGAGGAGGTGCTGTTTGCTACAGGGAAGGGAGCAACAACGCTGGAGACCTCAGGAGTAGGGGTAGAGACAACCTCAGACTCGACAGGGGCAGCCGCAGACGAAACGGCGACAGAGGTGACAGCTGCGGAGCTCTCAACAGCAGAAGACACCTCAACTGGTGCAGCGGAAGAAGGCTCAGCCTCAACAGCGGCGCTGCTGGTAGCAGGAGCAGCAGTAGAAGAGGCAGCAACGGAAACCGGAGTGGAAGCAGCGGGGGTCTCAGCGGCACCACCGGTAGCGGTGGCGGCAGGGGCACCAGCGAGCTCGCCGAAAGTGAGGAGCTGAGGGGTAGCCTCAGTGCCGCCAGCGATCAGCTCAGGGCCAGGGGCGGGGTATGAGTCGAGGTCGGCGTGAATTGAGAAACCAAGACCGGGGCCAGTCTTTGAGTAGGCCTCAGGGAAGGTGACACCCTTAGGCTCGAGAGTTCCGCTACCAGTGACAGTAAGCTGGTAGCAAGTCATGTAGTGCTGAGCACCACCGGCTGGGCCTGCAGCGTGTAGGGCGATTGCCTCAGCACGGAGAAGGTAGTCACCAGGAGCGATGTTCTTGGGAATGGTGAAGTCGAGCTTTCCGCCTGCAGAGATATTAGACATGCCGCTAGAGTTATACATGTTTGTACGTACAGTTGTAGTTGAGGTCCTTGGTACCCCAGAAGTCGTTGTCGCCTTGAGTGGCATCTGGGTTCTTAGCCCAGGTGTTCTGGTAGACCTTGAAGAACTCGCTGGAACCGTCGGCGGTGGCTGCGTCCTCAACCTTGGACATGTATGCGAGAACAGGACCCCAGTGAGCACCACCGAGGCCTTCCTCTTTGCAGTCACGGGTGTTGTGCTGATGCATCTCGATGGTTACTGTGTCACCGGCCTCGAAGTCGCACTTTCCCTCAGCAGGAGCGGGGCTGACGTTGCCTATACTATTGTTAGCATTCATGACCGACCGGATCTACAGGAGACTGACATTGGAGAGCATTGCTGGTGTAATCCTCGACGGGGCTGTTGGAAGGTGGCAACCTGGCACAAGTGCTCTCGAGATCCTTTCCGTTCTTCCAGAGTTGTTGGAAAGTGGCGTGGGCGTTTGCAAGCGCCAAGATGGCAGGGAGGACAGCTACGGACTTCATAGTGTATATGTTGATGCGAGTAGTGATGTTTGGAATGAATGACTAGTCAAATATGACAAAAGAGTGACTGAAAAAGCAAAAGAACGAATGAATGACGAAGTCTCGTAGTGAAAGAATGTCCAGCGCAGCTGCGTTACTGTTTCAAAAGCTGGCGGGCTCCAAGGCTTATATCCTCCTTCAGCACAGGAGATGAGTTGAGCCGTGATGCCGAGGGATATGTGGCACGCTGCATGGTTAGCCGTTTCGTTTACCACCGGTCCAATCTCGAACCTAACGTCAGGGCGCTATGTGTCTGCAGCCACAGGCGGATAGATGAACGAAGGATGGGGTCCTATGCCACGAACAGAAGTCTTGGGAACCAGAACCAGGTCCATGGGTCAAGTCGAAAAGTGACAGGTTTGACGTGCGGGGCGCTGATTGGTGGATATGTACGGTGCCTGGAGTTCGAGCCGAGTATGGCTTAGTGCTGTTTTGACCTATGACAAGGCGAGATTCCTTTGCATTGCAGGGGCTCTTAGCCATCCTTCGCAAATTGTTGGTGATGCCATCCAACACAAGGGATTGCAGTGCATATCGATGCGTCTATCTTGGTGTTTTCTCTCTGCTAGAACAGTGCTGGTACTACTTGTAAGACATGAATTGCAACGACTATTCGAATGCATTGGGCCTGGCGGCAGCTCTGTCTCGGAGATGATTGTGTAACGGCGCAAAGCTGCAAATTCTATTGATGGTATCCTCCGCAATTTCAAAGAATCTGCAGCTTAAGATCCGATGCGGGTCTTCGAGCCCAGGGTTGAGATACTGGCACCGGCTCCGGGAGTGAACATGAACATGAACATGTTCACTGAGAGATGACAAGACGGTTAAATAGCGACAGGATAGTACCTTGAACGGGTGTTTGCAACATAATGCGGATGAAATGATGGACAGATACCCGCTCGTGTATGTTTCTCGCACGGCACGTTGAAACGTCGTGGTGGGGCGAGACGAAACACTAATTGTAAGATCAGCACTGGGTTCGCAGGTCGGAGCCTCAGAGGAAAGTATTGACGCGGGTCGAAGCGCAAAGCGACCAGAGGCGGTATAGAACAGGACGTATCGGTTGATGGGTTGTGGCGTGAGCTGTTGTGCGAAGGAAGAGGGAGGCCTATTGCGCGGCGATAGCAAAGGACCATGGTGATGTCATGCGCTAGTGCGCCGCACCAGTCACAGTTCAGAGTGTACTCAGGTAGTCATTCTCTACGATGGAGTGATGGATCTTTTGCAATGTCATTGCGCTTAAAACCCGAACTTGTACACAGACTTACCTCTGAGGTATCGACGATAAGCAAGAACAACTGACGAGGATACCCTTGCAAGTGGCTCAATCAGCGATTGCCGTAACGAGCACGTTAACGATGTGGATTGTCGCTATGTGCGTCCCATGAGACTCAACGCCATGACTACATCGAGTTATCTCGTATATCTGAGAGAATCCGAGCTTCTCATGCCGTCAAAATTGATCTCATGTTGGGTCTCATGTGTGACACGCTGGGTTCAAAGTAGCCAGCATCAAACGTAGGCTGCCTAGGAAGCTATTTCTACTTCAGTCCAACTATACGCTTGAGGTGCTTGCCGAGCACTTGTCCATGCACGCGCATGAGTTGAAAGATCTAAGTTGCAGCCGCTGTGTTCAAGTTTAACAGAAGCTTGGCGGTAAAGGTCTACTGATGTTAGCATACCTGCCACTATGATCATAGAACCATTGACGGCCTAATTTGAACAACAAACGCGGTCGCACTGTTTCGAATCCCAATCCAGTCAAGCCCACACAGGTTTGCCGCGAAGACGAAGAGACCCCAATATCGCGCACTGTACTCCAGGAACCGGAACGGCTACGACAGTTTTCGACTCAAATAAAACGGTGCGAGTGCCAGCTGACTCTGAACGCTAGAGCCGCACCGAGCTCGAAAGGCTTGTCGAAGAAGAGGAGCAAGCAATTGCGGATCAGCAGCTCGCTTTGGCCCTGTCCTATTTGTAAACCGATGATTAAGACTTTCTACCCGGCTCTACTTGCGCTTCAAACCTAACTCGCGATCGTTGTCTTGGACCCGATAAACAGTGGGCACATGCTAAGGGACCCTACACAGACATATGCACGTACGAGATCGCTCCTGGCGCATTTTCTGGTCTCAGTGCGTCGAGTAATACCAGAGAGAAAGCATACCACAACGCAGAACTACTCTCAGAAGCGCACCTCAAATTTTGGGAGGCATGTATTGACGGTGTACCGGCCGTAGACACCTTGACACTTGAGCGTGAACACGTAGCTTACAGCTATTGTCGGCACTGCCTCTTCGATCCCTTCACTATGGCTCTCGACGGCGTCTCCACCTTTCTTCCCAAGTGCTGGAAGGTTCTTACTTCTCTCGATGTCTGCGGCAAGATTGTTCCGAAGCAACACACTAAAAAAATCGACCTCATGGTGAGGAAGCTCATGACGCTCAACCCAGCTTATTGCGCTGATACTGACTGCACGGCTCTCATCCGCCTTGAATATATCAGCAGCGAAGCAAACACTTGAATCGAGTGTAAAAAGAGAATCTGTATGCAGTGCAAACGCCAGGTACATAAGAAATTGTGTCCAAGTGACATACACGTGTGATTCCTCATTGAATTTAGCCAAGCAATGGAAGTGGTAGCAATGAACATGGTCGAGCTTTCTCGATGTTGTTTCTACATGACTTGCTACTAGAGTCATTCATTCTGCTACTTCTGTGGCGGACCTTGGGAGATATACACGTGTCCACAGTGAGAAGAGCATTATCTCAATCGTCCTGGTCTTACCATCCAGACAGCCCCGATATCAGAATTCGCTGAGCATGTCTACTCCCAGCAATGCATGGATTGTAGTGCGGATTGGCTTCGATTCGTCATGCACTGTAGCGGGTGCGAACTGTCGAACTGTTGGCGTTTCATCGACAGCACGCGAAGAGTAAAGATCAATTGTGTTGGCTGTGGGATGTGATAGAGAACCTCGAAACCTGGAGTACTTCCATATAGGAAAGACGCCTATAATAAGCGCGCGCGGCTCAGTGGATCCCGGGTGGGGAGCCGAAATAAGATCTGCACGCATGTATGATGGTGTAGGGTGATAGATAGGAACTACATCGGAGGTTGAGCAGTGTTCTCCAGTACATACCTGCTATCAAGCAGCATCATGGCTCTTTAGAGTTTGGTGAGTTAAACCTCATGAAAATCGCCATTTGGGACGCGTGAACACAACAAAGTGATGCCCTTCACCAGAAGAACAAAACTGACAACGAGTCATGTAAGATTCATCCTTATCAGTCGGGCGGGATGTAGCGCGCCACAGTAAGCGTTAAGAGTTCTTCTTGTCGTATACTCATCTTCGAGATTTCGACTCTGTGGTACCTAGGTAGCGACAATCGTGGCAACGAGTTGTGTACCAAGTATCCAACCTCACATGTAGAGAAGACCACCCACCCAGTTCGAATGCGTAGTCTCTTGTGAGTCGTAACAACGTCCTTTACAACAGGCAGCCTAGAGTTGAAGCAAAGATGGACATGGGAGATCGGCACCAGACCCCTTTCTAGCCGACTTGGCCTATGCGGGGAGTCGTCTTCGCTAACCAGTGCTTATCCTGGCGCCTCAAACATCACTTTGCCAATGACCTCTGCTTCCGCAACACAGCCTTCTTCACATTGTTTCCACCACCTCAGGAGAACACTTTACCGCCCGACCCGTCCAAGCCACAATTGCTGAACGGTTCTACGCGAGCTTACCTAGCATGTTTTCAGACTCCTTAGGCACACGGCACTTACGGCAGCACTACACAAGGCGTCGTAACAACAAAAGATTAGACTGAGTGACCCGCTATTCGAGGTATCGAACTATAGTAGTCTTCTGACATGCCACTGCAAGCTAGACATGACTCAACACCCCCGACCTCGTGGCGACCTGTGGTGTTGTCAGTATGTCAGACGCGTCGCCGGTACGCGACTGGACATCTTGACAGTTGTCGGCACGTACCTGCATATTCTCCGGTGAACTCTAAACGCGTAAACGGCAACGGCATGAGAGGTCACGGACTATGCGTCTGCAGATCTTTCCTCAATGTTCATGACGCTGACGCTGAGTGGCTTGCCTGGTCCCCCCTCTCCCGCCTCAGGGCTTGAACAATGCAAAGGGAAATTCGAGTTGAACGTAAAAGTAAGGTTCAGCTCGTGTTACAATCCTTGAATTTTGCTTGCCTGATCCGTAAATGGAAGACTTACAGCTCATTACTTCTTGCGCCTCGCCTCGGTTTCGGTTATCTCGACCGCATTCAGGTTTCGAGTCTGTACTTTTTACCGCCACACGGCTTGTCTCTTCGTAACTCAAGCCCCACAGCCAAACTTAGCACATTGGTACCTGGCATAGTCTCAAGGGAATCCCATATAACACTGACCGTGATCATGTCTTCGAACGATGTGCCTTGCTTTTCAACACAGTCGTTCATTCTTTTCGCGGCCATTCTTGTCGTGTTCGCTCATTGAGAGTAGTACGGCTTATTTCCATTGCTACAAACATGGTAGCCTACGCTCCTTACCTCGCTGCTACAGCATCTTTGTCATCTGTTTACCACGCAGTTACCCCTTCTGCGTTCCGCTCCGCGCCTATCTGCCATGTAGTCACAGCGACAGTGACTGAATATGCCACTGCACGGCCCACTACCAACGCTCATGGACATGGCGGACCATACTATAATCCTTACAACGACGTACCCCTTCCATTCGAGTGGCCGGGAAAACCATCGCATGGGGAGGAATACCCTCCTCCTCGACCTTCGATTCCATATCAATATGGAGGGCCTGCTAAAGATGCGTATGATGAGCCATGCTGGATCCCAAAGGGTACTGGGCAGCTCAAGCCTTCGCTACCAAATGTTGAACAGTGTGGCAACTCACAATGGGGACTAATTGACTCACCTCATCTTCCGGTCAACGGCCTCCCCGGTAGTATTTCTGATAGCGCCTACACATCGAATTCTACAAAGCTTCCATCCACATTTCCGCCTTATCCTACGGTATCTGGCCATCCAAACAACCATACCAACGCCACAGGCTTCGAGTCTATCAGGCAATCCTCCACCAGGACTCTTGGATCCGTTGTTACCGCAAGTGCTGCCAGCACACCGACGGCAGATCCCCTGTGTCCTACCATGCCGGACACTGGCGTGACAAGGACCTACGATCTTCATGTAGCTTATCAGACCATTGCTCCGGACGGTGTTACCAGGAATGGTTTGACTGTAAATGGCCAATTCCCTGGCCCTCTCATCGAGGCCAACTGGTACGAGGTAGCGCGAAATGACGTAAGGCTTTAGCTGACCGTAAACTAGGGGCGATTGGATCTTGTGGAGAGTCACAAATGACCTGACCGATGAAGGTACTACACTTCACGCCCATGGCCTCCTTCAGACCGAGACATCCTGGTATGATGGTGTTCCTGCTATTTCTCAGTGTCCAATTTCGCCCAACGGTGGATACTACGAGATGCTTTTCCGGGCCGATCGTTATGGCACATCTTGGTATCACAGTAAGTTCATCCAAGTTAGACTATGAAATGCCAAGGCTGAGTTTCTTAGGTCACTACAGTGCTCAGTATTCTGGTGGTGCTCACGGCCCTATGGTCATCCATGGACCAAAGCATGAAGAGTATGACATCGACGTAGGACCTATCATCCTTGAGGATTGGTTCCACGCCGACTACTATTCTCTTGTTGAGGGTACCATGAATGGCCTATTCCCGCCTTCAAACAACAACCTGATCAATGGAAGAATGAACTATCCTTGTGCAAACACAACGCTACCTTGCACTCCCAATGCAGGTACCTCCAAGTTCAAGTTCGAGTCTGGAAAAAAGCATCTACTACGTCTTATTAATATGGGTGCAGAGGGCAACCAGAAGTTTAGCATCGATGGGCACCAGCTGAAGGTCATTGCCGTCGACTACATTCCGGTTGAACCGTACATGACGAACGTTGTTACTCTCGCTGTTGGTCAGCGTACTGACGTTGTGGTCGAAGCTATCGGCAAGCCCAGTGATACGTTCTGGATGCGCTCTCAGCTCGCCCAAGGATTCCGCTGCACTCTGACTGACGGCATCTCGCCAAACGCCCTTGCGGCAGTTTACTACGAGGATGCCGATACCAACGCCATTCCTCAGACAAGCTCTGATGTCACCCAGGCTCAGCTTGAGCAGTGCAAGAATGACCCTATTACGTCCGCCATTCCGCTCTGCAAGATCCCTTTGGAAGAACCTGATCATGTCGAGCGCGTAGACTTCGATTTCCGCTCCAATGGCACAAACTTCATCTGGTACCTCAACAACAGCACATATCATGGGAACTACAACGAGCCCACACTCCTGAAAGCGAAGCGTAACGAGTCAGACTTCGATCCCGAATGGAACGTGTACCAGTTTCCTGGTGCAAAGAACGTCCGGATTCATCTTGTCAACCACGGTCTTATTGGTGGCCACCCTATGCATCTCCACGGCCACGACTACCACATTCTTGCGGAAGGCTTTGGTGAATGGGATGGTGTCGTCACAAATCCGGAGAACACGCTGCGTCGCGACGTTCACCAGATGCAGAATGCGCGCAATGTCACCGGAACAGTTGAGCCCTCGTACCTAGTTCTACAGTTCACTCAAGACAATCCCGGCGCCTGGCCTTTGCATTGTCATCTGGCGTGGCATGTTAGCGGTGGGCTTTTCATGCAGATTTTGGAGAGGCCGGAGGACATCCAGAAGCAGGCCTTTGAAGACGAGCAATTTGAGCTCTGCGATACCTGGGATGCCTACACAGCTGGAGTTGTTCTTAACCAGATCGATTCCGGCTTGTAGCCGAGGTGCTAGAGTCATGAGATGGCGGCAAAGTCTACAGATGCTACCTAAGTACCTATTCAGGCCCCACCAAGTGAATCACGTGATCCACCCACGAACGCTCACTTGGTGCTTTATACTTCTACCACATTACTTAGCTTTCCTTCCTTGTACATAGAACAATTAATTTACTCTTACGTTCTGTTATACATCTTCAGATGCCTTTAACAAGCGCGTGCGATTCGAATGTACCCTAAATCACCGTGTGCAGCGATGCCCAGATGTCACGTCGGATCGTTACAAACATCGCAGTTGCGGAAGTTCCATAATCTGAATCAAGGGTGAGTATGGTTATGTGTCCGTGAGCCCTCACAATGGTTATGACCTTTATCTCTCTACCACGTATCGTTTTGGTAGGGCACAAGCAGTGGAATCGTCATGGCCATGACGTCATGGACCACGCAAACTTTACTACTTTCTATTAGCGAGATTAATCAATGTAGCCATTCGCGTACGTTCAACTCGTAATCGCGACACCTAGGCTTTATCATCGTCTCCTACCAAGGGTTCAATAAAAATGAACGCCGCTCCCCAACAACTCAAAGTTCTGCTGACCGGCGGTGCCCGAGGAATTGGGCGCGGACTGTTCAGACAACTCCTGACAGCTGGACACGATGTCATAATCCTAGACTCCAACAAGGAAGAGCTAGAGCATGTCAGATATCGAGCACAAGAATGGTCAAAAGGGCGGAAGGAGAGCTGGTTTGCGCTTGAATGCGACCTCAGCAAGCGAACGGAATTGAAGACTGCTGTCGACGAAGTTGAAAGAAAGTTTGGGGGCAGGCTCGATGTTTTGATCAACAATGCTTTCCCCACCGATCTCTCACTATCCGAAGATCGAAGTATGGAAGCTGAAGGAGAAGACATCGAAAAAGAGTGGGATTTGAAGGTTGCGATTGGACTCACTGCGCCGTACATACTCAGCCGCCTTTGCGTCCCACTTCTAGCTGCTGGACGCTCTACTCCGAACTCTCCTGGTACTATCATCAACATGTCATCAACGCGCGCCTACCAATCTGAATCTGACCACGAAGCCTACTCATCCGTCAAAGCTGGACTGTTAGGATTGACACAGTCGATGGCAGTATCTTTAGGCCATCGTCACAAGATCAGGGTCAATGCAATTATCCCGGGATGGATTCACGTAGCCAACGAGAACAAAGCTGCAGATGATGGTAATGTCAAGTGGGAGGAAGGCTTGAGCAAGGAAGACACTGCTTGGCACCCATCTGGGCGAGTGGGTAAAGTGGAGAATATCGCGAAGGCGGTAGAATACCTCATTGGAAACGAGTTTGTGACTGGTCAGGAGGTTGTCGTGGATGGCGGTGTCGGGAGAAAGATGGTCTACCCCGAGTAAGTGTATAAGATCGACGCATCAACACCTTTCGCATCAGCTCAAAGATCCACTATTTGTTCTTCATCCAAATGTCGGATCGAAAGCTAGGAGATCATGTTTCAATCTATATTCCACTGACACGCCTTTTGGCCACTACCAACAACGTGCCTTTAGGATAAACGCAGTGATGTAGACATTTCTAGTTTCAAAGGTAACAGTTCTTGTCTTTGGGATAAGTCTTTATTCCTCAAATATGGCTCATAGATTGACGGCAATTTTCCTACGCATGCTTTCGTTAATGTCTACTGGATCAGGTTTTGCTTGGATAGAGTACAAACCTAATGGTTGGACCTTGCATCGAACCAGAGTAGGTTGTATAACCATAGACAGAGACTAGGCTTGGAACAATATGCCTTCTGCGCGCTTTCGTACAATCACAGGCTTGTTACAACCGTGATGTGCCTCAACGACTGCGCGTAAAGAGGAGTATTGCTCGGAGCTTGAGATTCGCGCCATCCCGTGTGAGATTGGCCGGCGCCACTCATGGCCGCGAATGCACGCGTGACGCTAACGCGACAAGTCCTTTACTGTAGCACGACTTTCTCGCGTTTCACTATCTTCATCTAGACTGCACAAGCGAAAGGTGGTCAAACAGAGACCCAATAGTAGTAAATGTACATTCGGATCATAACCCTACAGAGAAACTTGTCCTAGCTAAATACTACATACAGTCTTTGTCATAGACAAAGATCTTGTGTCGAACAAAGGGAGAATGCCAAGCAGCTTGCCTGTCAAACAAAAGGTACATGCAACTCAGATCTGGTCCAACTCAGAAAGAGCTATGACCATGTTGAAGATTAATGATAGTGAGAGTGAAAGCCCAGTGCCACACGAGAAAGACTTGCAACGATATCCTGCAGAAAGAGAACCGAGAGAGAGGTAAGCCCTGGAAAGAGAGGGGCATGGAATGGAAACGACTAGCCTACTTATGACCAATATCAATATTCTCTCCTATGCTCACTGACATACGCAACCTCAGACGATGCTTTCTTCCATTTACTTTGACTTGGCGTTTGTATCCGCCTTTCGACCGCTTTACGGGCAGTTGCTGACGAGTCACGTGATCATATTATAGTCGTTTGCAGGTAAACAATCTGCGCGTCGAGCTCCCCAGAGAAGACTACAGCGCACCCAAACCAGTCAAAAACCTTCCCATCTGAAACCTCTCTTTTTTCTCCATTTCGGACAAGGAAAATCAAGTTGGATCGCTAGATTTGCGCCCTTGTCATCATCAAATTCACAATGACAACAGCCGATAATGCGACAAGCCTCTCCACCAGCGAATCGTCGTAAGAATCACTCGCTGTAGCATTTACATCATGGACTAACTATAAGTATAGTGAGCCACCCATACTCCACGACCAAGGCATGCCCAAGGCTGCGCGTGCCCACCGTAGCAGGACTGCCAAGAAGAACGCACTTTCCAAGGACCTCAACGTTACTATTTCCTCTTCAGATCAGGCTCTTTTGACCAAATCCGTCATTACCGTCAAGAACGTCATGAAGGAGCAAAACGCTGGGTCGACAGCCAATGCTCCCAGCATCAGTGATGCTGGTGATTCGGCATCTGATGCTTTGCCTAAGAAGCCGGGTCAACTATCGTCTTCTCCTATCGTGGATCAGGCCCTAGACAACCTGTTGGTAATGATACGACCTGAGCGTCAAGATCTTCTTCAGGGCCCTTGCATAACCATCAGAGTTGCTATCAGTCAATCAGTCAGTTGTCAGTTCATCTTTGCGGTTCAAACTGTCAGTCTGGAGGTAGTGAACTGACCTGATTGACTGCCAAGACATTTTTTAGAATCGCGAACTGAGACTG